GAGAGGGAGTCAGTGAGCTCTGGATCCTGTTCTTGTCCTCCTGGTGTCTGTGGATCTGCAGAGAGGAGGACAAACATGCAGATTAAAGCTTTTTTACTTTAGTTTAAACGGCAGAAAAATCTCCACGACACTCAAACCTCGTCTGTTTTTAAGAGTCAGGGGGTCGTTTCTCTCGCTGCGGCGCTCCAGCAGCTTCTCCTCCTCTGAGGAGACGAGACGGTCGATTATCCAGCAGGACAGGAAACCTGCGGACGGTTCAACCCGAGGTTAACGAGAGAGTGATCAACAGACCTGAGAGGGGAGGAGGAGGATTTATGGACCGACAGGACGAAGGGCTCGCAGCGTTTCAGAGCAGAGGGGCTGATGGGAAATTAAACCAGTCTTTGGATCGTACTGTTTGCACCCTGAGGGGTCAGGAGGGACCTGCACTAACTGATCAATACCTTTGACCTCTACCTGATCGTCTGTCATCCTGATTTTAACCTGAACGACACGGAGGCGCCCTGAAGGTGGCGGCGTCAGAGGAAAGGTCATCAGGGCTTTTAAATCAAGTGTCTATCCTCTGGGGACCAGGATATGATTAGAAAATGTCCATCAGGACAGTTTTCAGTTTTTAAATAATCAAAGATGCTGCGTTCAAGAAGACGCTCTTGTGTTTCCAGTTTCTCTGGATGGTCGAAAATGTCAGAAAAGCTTCAGAGTCGATTTTATTTAAAAGGGCCGATTCACAACATTCGTCATCCCGAGACGCTTTCCAGAGAAAAGAGACCGCGCTGATCTGTCCATCTGACCGACTGCGTTTATAAACTGTATATATATATATAAATATTTGAGGGTATAACGAAGTTTTCACAGGAGCTGAAATGTTGTTTCTGGATCCTGTTTCCAGTGCATGATGGGAAAAAATGAGCCGGGAAATATGTTCAGGAATAATTTACACAAAAACTACAGTCTGGTTCTGGTTCTGGTCCTGTTTCCTCTCAGAGGGCCCAAATCCCCGGGGGGTCACCTTGTCTCCGTCCTTCTCTCCTTGTGTCCTCCTCCTCTCCTTGTCTCCCTCCTCGTCTCCTTGTCTCCCTCCTCTCCTTGTGTCCCTCCTCCTCTCCTTGTCTCCCTCCTCTCCTTGTGTCCCTCCTCCTCTCCTTGTCTCCCTCCTCTCCTTGTCTCTCCTCCTCTCCTTGTCTCTCCTCCTCTCCTTGTGTCCCTCCTCCTCTCCTTGTCTCCCTCCTCTCCTTGTCTCTCCTCCTCTCCTTGTCTCCGTCCTCCTCTCCTTGTGTCCTCCTCCTCTCCTTGTTTCCCTCCTCTCCTTGTCCCCTCTCCTCGTCTCCTCTCCTCAGCAGTTTTCCTCTCAGTCTGTGTCTCTCACCGGTTCAGGGGTTTGAATGTTGCTGCTGCCACCTTGTGTCTAAAACAAGTCATTACAGCTGCTGTTGTAATTAAAGGACCAATCCACTTTTTTTAAACCATCTTTGACTCAACAGTTCGACGCTCCGTCAAACTCAACGTACCTGAACTAACGAAGGATCGGAGCTTCATGAAGTTTATTTTTGCTTTAATTGTTTTTTTAATCCGGCCTGAGAGAAAATGTTTCAACTGTGTCACATACAGTATATAAATACTGCATGTTATTGGCCACTAGAGGGCAGCATAGAACAGCAGCTGCTGCAGGTAAGAGTCAGGGAAGGAGATGATTTTACATCCGATTTCCAAAATATGAAGATTTCTCAAGCAGCGTGGGCGTGAAGTCAGAGAGGATTGTGGGAAATCAAAGAGTCTGAAGTTAAAATCCAAGAATGAGAGACGAGAGCGGCGAGTTCGACTCGTCAGAAACGATCGTAAACAGAAACAGTTGTGATAATGTTGTTTTGATCGTAGTTGACAGTTCAAACCGGCGTCCTGAACTTCGCTCTGGTTTGACTCTGAGGATCACGTCTTTGTCTCTTTCACTCGTTCGTCGTGGTCGGTCGGTCGGTGGCGCCTACCTGAAGGACTTCCCTAAAGTCTAAAAGTCGAACAGCAGAGCCGGTCCTTTGGTTCGGCTCGTACAGTCTCTCTCACCGTGGATCCTCTCCATATCTGCTGCTGCTGCTGCTGTACATTCAGCCGTGGATGTGGAGAGCGATCACGTTGCCGTTCTCCCACACACTCTCCGCTCTGCAGCCCACACGCCGATCTCAGGTCAGAGGTCGCTCTGCATTAGCAACAGTACAGGAGTGATCAACCAACACCGCTTACAAGGAGGGCAGCGGAGGATGCCTCGGCCTCCACGTGCACACACACTCACACACAAACACTCACACTCACACAGATTTAAAGATATATACTCGTCAACTAATCAGGGAGGAGAGATCGCTGCAGTTTTCCTCGGCGTCTCTATTCCTGAACCAAACTTTGTGAAAAAGGACAGACAACAGTTTCTCTTCATCTGCTCTCAAACGTTAGAAATCACAAAATACAAGCTGTGAGTTTTTTTTACTTCTGTCTGTTTTGTAAATATCCA